GAGGAGGAGGAGGAGGAGGAGGAGGAGGAGAAGAAGAAGAAGATATGCCGTAACAACAACAACAACAACAACAACAATGGCAAAAAACAACAACAGGAACAACAAAAGCAACAGCAACAATAACAACAACAATAACAGCAGCAATAACAATACCAACAACAGCAGCATCAACAACAACAACAACAACAAAAACAACAACAACAACAATCTCCTCTGATGTATTTGCTTGACTTACACGAAAAAGACTCAAGTTTCAGTGTAGACGTTATGCATAATATTCTCTTCTTGTACTTTTCATTTATTTTCTCTCATCCCTGTATCTTGTCACGGTTTAATAGTCATATGATCAGCTTTCGGAAAGACCGCGACGGTGTCTTCAGGAAAACGCAGATCACATCTAAAACACGATGTGAGTGAAAGGCTTTAAGAGGTATGTTGTCATTGTTCAATTTTTTTTTTAAACTACACACCAGAGTAGTCCTATAGCGACGTCAAACATCGGTCAATACAGAACATATGTGATGCGTTTTGGTAAAAATCGGGCGCTCGTCAAAGCAAAAAAACAAACCAAAAAAATCGAGAAACCGACATTTCATTTAGTTGGGCAATGTTTTTCAATTTTTTTACTGAACACATTGTCTTGCGCATTTAACTGAAAATATGTTAATCAAAAGCTTTAAAAGTGTGTAATTTAGACAGCTTCCAAGAAACTTACCAAACTTTGACAGTCGATTTCTCACTAACTTTACCTTTGAAACCGGGCAAACCCAACCACCTCCAGAGGCAAATATCTCGACTTCTATTTAAGGTAGACATATATATTTTGTTCATCAAAAGCAAGACAAATGAACGAGCTTGAAAATGATACACACAAAAAAACTCATATTGCCCCAAAATTGACAAGCGCCTGATTCAAAGTACTGTGAAGTCTATGTTTCTTGAGGTCCATGATCCCGGACACAGACAGGAAGAAGGAGACATCCAGTCCCATGTCGCTTGATGCTGGATCCTTTGTTATGAAGAGTCCTCATTAATCAGTCACGACGCGGTGGAATCAGGCACTCGTCAATTTTAGGGCAAATGGAGTTATTATTTTAAAGCTTATTCATTTGTTTTGATGTTTATCTTTAAAAAGATATCCATATGTCTTTAAAATGGGAGTCGAGATATTTGAAACTGAAGGAGGGGGACTCACCTGGTTATAGAGGTAAAATAAGCGAGCAAATGGCCGGCAAACCTTGGTGACTTCCAAACATGAGTGTTCTTGGAAAGTGCAGGTTTACATTAATTGTTTGCTTTTTACGGGTCTTTTCCTCTAAAGTTCACCCACGAATGTGTTTTTTTTTTAAATTTAAATAGATATTAAAAAATGCTGAGCCAAAAGAAAATCGACAAAATTTGCCCTTCAGGCGGGAAAGAGTTGGTTTATTCGATTTCATTTTGCCGAGCACTTGATTTCACCACGATGTCACGCATTTGTTTGTACGTGTGCCAGTAAAAGCAGTTTTACATCTAATATCTTTGTAGCTGACCAACATTAAATATTAATATATTAATTTTAGAGTCTGAAAAATCATATGTACTAGCAGAGAATGGTTTAGCTCTCTAAACCCCTTTTTCTACAGAATTACGTTGTGTGGAGAGGAAATGTTTTTTTTACATCACAAATGGATCTTTGGGGGTGCTACACTACTTCTTTGTAAACATTTACTATTCTTCTCGTTGTTTTTAGCTTATTTACATTCTAATAAAAACATATTATAATATCGATGTCGTTTTCTTTTGACTGAAACAAAACGATAAAAATCGGCGAGGTAATATTCTGATGTGTTTACAATGGTCAAGCAAAAAATAATAATTGAGCACAAAGGGTTTTCAAAGTAAAAGTTGAGCTTTAAGTCTTGTTAGAAGTTGTAGCTGCTTTGTGCTGTCTCGTTGCCAAAAACAACTCCACTAGAATTTGCAATTAACCAACATCTGGTGATCTGCCTCAGTCAGAACGAGAGTAAACATTATGTGATGATCTGAGTCTTCGCCTTGAATACAAAAGACGTGGTTTCGAGTTTACTCTTTATCACCTAAATTGTGTCAAATAAGGTGTTTAAAATCACACATTACAAAAGAAAATCGAGCCAGCCTTAGCGATCTCCTGTCAAAGACTATCACATGTACAAACGACCCCCTTGCGTTTTTTCCTATGTAGTGACACTCTCCAATGGGACTGTGAACGCTATATTTTATAAACCAACAAAAACCTGTCCAAGACGACAACACACAATCTCTCATCGCCCGACTACCCCCCCCCCTCCCCCCCCCCCCCAAACAACACACACACTTTAAAAATGACATTTTAACGGGCCAGGCGGCAATCCTAAGTCTTCGCCCACCTCCGATTGGGACATCAGAAAAGAAAGGTTGGTTTTTGGGGTTGTTTTTTTTGTTGTTGTTTGTTTCTTCATTTTCCATTTGACCTGACCATGCAAGGAGATTGTCTGTCTAATAATATTAATAATAATAAGATCATTTGTATCCCGCCTTTCTCCACAACATGGGCCCACGGCGTACATAGGAGATTAAAAACGCATTCATACTAACACCATACAAGTTCATCATGTGCGCACATTTTGACAGCAACATTCTTTCAGACAATAAAAAATGCTCATACAAAAAGGCAAGGCACTGTCCATTAATTAAAATATTTCTAAAATAGATGTGTTTTGGGTCCCCTTTTGAAGGTATCGAGTTTTATTTCGGTTCCTCGAATCGTGAGGGAGAGTGTTCCCAACTGTTGGCCCAGAAAAAGAAAAAGCTCTCTCACCATATTTCTTCAGTGACACACGAGGTGTTGAAATTAGTCTAGAGCCACTAGATCTTAGTTCACGTCATGGTGTGTGTGGTACATAGAGTAAAACAACCACTTTTCTCCGCGACAGAGTCTTGGGCAGACTCGCCTGTAAAAGGCCAGTCGAACAAATGGGAAGGACGAAAAGGAAATTGTTAAACTAGGAAGATAAATCAAATGGTGGTCCGGTACCATGATATCAGTCCCAGGGTCTCGCGAGGGGGACAGGTGTGGGTCTTTGCCTCTCTCCACGCTGTTTGGAAGGACAATATAACAGACCAATGTTAAGACAAACGTACTAACTTGTAACCGACGACCAAGCGATGACACTAGTGCCCTTATTATTGCTTTACGGTGTGGTGGGTGTTGAAGACGGGATACTTTGATTGATTACAGGGCTATTTTTAGCCTGGCTGTCCCCGTTATGATAAGAGGTGGGTGCGGATTTGACGGATTTCTCTTGTAGAACAAGACAATGTGCATGTAATTCTTTAGAGCTGAGGGGTCAAAATAAGAATATGACGTCAGTCTGTTCATCAATGCAGACATAATAAAATAATATTATTAGAGTGGCCATTTCAGGAATAGGCTTTGCTCTTGCTTGCACATGTAGGATGTTTGTTTTGGAGAATGGTTTCAGCCCGCCCCCCCCCCCCCCCCCCCCCCCTTTTTCGTCCTATTTTCTCTCTATTTATGTCTTAACTCTCCATGAACATAGCGGACTCTTATAACCGATCAGCAACTGACCAAAAGCAATGTTTTGGTCCCTTTTCAAACCATGATACTAAAATCAGAAACACGAATAAAAATAATATGTGATACTTCATAGTATGCGGCATATCGTTGTCTGCTTTTTAAAGTTTAACATAAAGGAAACAGAACTGAAAAACAGGAATGAATGATGACATTTTACTCTTTTTTTAAAGCGCCCCATAACAGCGCATCTTTAAGAATTGCTAAACATCTCGGATACTCGTCCTCACTAATAGTTGTTGAGAGGGG